GCCTGCGTCCGCAGACTCACGCCGCACAGCACGTAGACGTGGACGTGTTCAGTCCACGTACGTCAGTCACACGACAGCCCGCCGAAAAAAAGTTACGGTCGGGCTGAAATTGTACGGTCGGTCGGGTGAGTCGAACCACACACCTTCTTTAGTTTGGCCTAAGTATGATTTACTGCACGAGTACAAACGAGTACAAGGGCAATACCGGCTGATACATGACCGAACGGCGCCAGCCGTGAGGAGGTATATTATGTATCAGATTGCAACGACCAGGAGGCTCTTAGTAGTGGCTGCAAATGACCGATATCCGTCACTTGCAGCTCTGCATCAGAGACCTGTAGCTGGCCTGAAGAGTTGTAAAATTACTCCTTTGTAGCCGGGGGAGTCAGAGCGAGGGCGATTCACGGCTTGGTCAAAAAACTGTCGGCCTGGAACGTAAACGTGGATCTGCCGACACAGTTCACCTGGTTCACACGCGCCTGACCTGGCATGCTGCCTTGCGTGAAAGGAACATTTTTCCGAAAGCAAGCTTCTTCTCCAAAATTCGAAATTTCTTTCCAAAAATGCCGTCGTCCTTGACCTCGAAGCTGAATGTTGTTAGGATAGAAAATTAGCGAAGATGTAGCCGACCCATTCTGGCAAGCCGTGTGCCCTCTGGATATGCAGTTGTTCGCCATGGTCAACAATCTTCTTCTCCTTCGTTCGTACTTTCACTTTCCTGACCACGAATACAAGCGGTACCCATGCTCAGGTTAGTGTTTATTTGTCTGTCTATGCACATACATGTAATACAATGTACTGTTCGTGCTGCAGGCACTGGCCGATCATGGAAATAGAGGAAGCAGCCAGCTTTCTTTGAATTCTCATCCTTTCAACAAAATATGTACACACTTTCCTTGGCTCCTTTTTCCCACCGCCACCATGCATGCACTGCTTTTCAAATTTGTGTTTGCTTTGGCAGTGGTTTCATGGGTATCCTTCAGCCTTCCGTGCATGGCATTCAAAATTCAGAATAGTTTCCACTAGGGGTGAAAGTTGGCACTGAGATCCCGAGTTCGAGTACTCTGATTTTCTCCGATCGAATATTCGAGTATTCGAGTATTCTTGATATCCTAAAAATCGCACCCCAAGGGCCTTAAAAATCACATGACACAACCCTGATTGAACCGATTGGCAGTCCTTTTCTCGAGTGTATTGGTTGGTGGGTCATTTGGGCTCTCTCTACTCGTGTACAAATGTTCACCACACAGTCTGCACATCAATATAATATGCTGACTGCTGCTCTGAAACTGCAGACTTCTATGGTAATGCATATACCATGTATGAGCGAGTACTCTGATATATTCCGAGTACGACTATATTTGAAAAATCCAAACGAGTATTCGAATATTCGGTATAATTGTTTCACCCCTAGTTTCCACCCAGGTGCTAGTGCCTCTGTTCTGCTTAGCACATTGTAGTAAAATTATTTGCAACTGTCCACCACTGCACTCTTGGCTCACATTCACCACACCATAGCGAGGAAGTTTGTTCTTGGATAGATGTCTGGAGGATGTAGAGCATCTATCCAAGAACAAACTTCCTCGCTATGGTGTGGTAAATGTGGGCCAAGAGCGCAGTGAGGAGAGGTGGACAGTTTCAAATTATTTAGCCACATCCGATCCTTTCTCCGATAATTATGGACATGTTTTACTATACCGGTATATTGAATGGCCACTCATGCTTCTATTGAGAGGTAACACCACTCAGGAAACTGAGGAAAGCCAACCGGTGTTGCACAGGATTTGAGGTTGGGAAGAAAAGATGTTCCGATAAAAGAACTGCGAGTACATGGGAAACGTATTATGGAAAGGGCAGTCTGAGTCGAACTAGGATCTCCTGTTCCAGAGCGTGAATATGAATACCGTAAAGTCGCGGATAAAAGCCGGGTTTGCATACAAGCACATCGCAGATAGAAGCCTGAAAATCAAACGGGTCGAATGCATATAAGCCCGTCGCGTGTAGAAGCCTTGCTCTATGCAAGCGCGGATCGGGTGGGTCAAGAGTGCATGCGCTATGTATGGTGCATAGTAGAACTGCCGCCGTACTGGTAGTCAGTGGTAGATCTACGCGTGTCGCACGTAGAAGCCTGGCATACAAGTCTGGCAAAAATATCAGTGGTGCATAATAAGCATGGTTTGCATTAAAATCTGATGGAGAAAGCGGCTTATGTGCTTATAAGCCCGGCTTTTATCCGCGACTTTACGGTACAGTAGAATGCCGATATTCCGAACAATCACTTATTCGAAATGCCAGTTTTCATATTGAGGAGCTAGAGTGTGTCTAGTTCCTGTGAAGAGAATGTGAGAACTGATGGAAACGTGAAGGAATGTGCAAGTCTTAGATGGATGTGTGACTGCTCCGTTATCCGAATTTTTCCCCATCCGAACCCCCTGGAGAAAGCGTGCGCCCGAGGGGTGCGGATAATCTACACTCTGCTGTAACAGTTATGTACAATGCGTGCCGATGCACATTGGACAACGTTGCAAATGTAGAATTGTAGGTGGACTGTGGTTCACATTAGACAATCGGAGTACCCCCACCAAACGAAGAGAGCTCAACATCACAAGGTAGAGCTTGCATGTACAATCGAAAAAGAGTACATATACCATTAGCTGATGTTGTTAGTGTGCGTTACGAAGTCTGAAGAAAATGTTGAACGATCTCGGCTGGGATGACATATACAATGTACTTGATAATTTCTTAGCGCATGAAAATCGGAGTCAGTACCACAATATTCCTCCCTCACTATATGAGTCTAGATACTTTGAATGTGGAACAGGGTCCAGGACAGGATCGTCTGCTCTATCCGAATTATGGCCTGGTTGCAATTTGTCTATTTACCAGCAGGTACATCGCACCAGGGAGTCATAGCACCTACACTGTAGGGAGACTACACAATACTTTATAGAATTTTGGGTCAGGATTTGGAGGTTCTCCGTGATCTGTGCAACCCGCGATCACGGCCTTGACCTACTGACCCTGAGAACGGCCCAGGTTAGCAATACCATGTACGAGCGTGTATAGATCTGCCCAATGGTGCCCCAAGGGTGGCTGAAACAGGAACCCCTGAGTCGAACCCCATGTCATTTAGCTTTACAGTCGCCTGTGCCGTCTACCTAGATGCTACAACTCCCTGCGTTGCACCCAGTAAATGCAGCACATCAAGTATACAGCCATGTAGTGTTGGTTGTCACCTGTTCTGATCGTGTGATATCACAAACAATCTTCTACGGTCCATTCATTTTTAACCTGGCACGTTAGGGGCCGTCCATAATTATCTATCTTTAACAGATTGAGTATCTTTGAAACGAGAAAAAAATCGTTCATGGGCGGGTGGGTCAAGAAGGGTTTCGTAATGAAAAATATTGATAGCTGAAACACTAGTCCATTCCAGCTATTTTTCGTTGAGGGGTGAGTAGGTGGGGGTGGGGGACGGTCACAAGTTACTCATAACTAAACTTTTCATTTCGTGAAAATTATCGATAATGCCGGGTCCATAATTGTCGATCTTTTACACGAAGAGAAAAAGTTTCGTTTGTGGGTGGGTCAAGGGGAGTTTCGTTTCAAAAAAATATTGATATTACAGACATCAATCGGGGGGGGGGGGGGGGTGGAGGAGGGTCCTTCTTTCATTTCGTGAAAATTATGGATAATGCTGGATAGCTCCTTTAGTCTATGCAATAAAATAGTTGTTTTCTTCACACAGTACCGTAAAGTTTAAACAATATCCGGCCATGTTTGTACCGAACATTTTTTCGAAAGGTAATTTCTCAAATGTTGCCTTGAGTACGTTCTCAGCAACATAGCGGGCCAGTTTCAAATAATTGGACTGCAAACTTGCATCGCTGGTTGTTGCAGCTCCATCACAGGTCGTATCACGGGAAATTGAGTCCAGCTTCACTTCTAGGTTGGGTGACACGTGATGGGCATCACTTCCTGCATGCTGGTGCATGTGACTCAAGAGCTCTGGCTGGCAAGCAGTTTTAGACTGCAGGTGCAATACAAGATTTTTCTGCGATGTGCTATGCATTGTGCATTGCATTTCTCGAGAGACACTTCACGCTATGTGAAAAAAAGAATTTCGCTCAATGTGGTATTGTGCATCATGCAGTGCAACTTTCCCACAAAACTGGACTCAAAGCACCTTATAGCTAGCTGTTGTTCACAGCAAAGATTTTCCTATTTGCGACTCTTGGTTTAATGGGTGCAGTAGCATGCATGTGCCTGGTGATATTGTTGCAATGGATCATAGTGAGGGCGTAACAGTACTTGTGCACTGATAGTTGGTAATGGCATCAGTACATAACCAAGAGTGGGCAACTCGATGATCCCTCTGCCCACAGCAGAAAGTTTCATCACTTCGGTTTTTGTGGGCCATTGGGCTCATTAATACCATCATGCGTAGCCAGAGATCAAAACTTGTACATCACAGCTACGGTAGTTGAAGCAGAACAATGAACTGTGGATCCATGCCTACTGAACCTGATGAAACACTCTATCTACATGGCACATGTAGAAATATACGCGCGCTTGCTCATAATCATTGGATTTCGAAGCCGATCGTACATTATGTTAGTAGTTGCACATTCTTGGTAGTTATGTAGTTTGATAATAACGTTACGATAGATTATCAATACTGGTGGAAACATTATGCTGGTTGCATATTTTGTACCCGGTGTGCCATGACCAGGCATGCTAATTCATCGGATATTAGCAAGTTTGCCTGCCTCCTGGGTGTTGTATTTTAGCTTCACTGTACTACAAATACGATAGGCTTAGTTTTCCTAAATTGCTTCTTTATAACATCCAGTTTGTTTTGCTGCAATCTTTTCACGTGTTTTGCAGGATTGTAGCCAAGGGTGAATACTGTAGCGGTAGCTACTTAGAGTAGTTTCGCCTGACTGTTTATTGCAAAAGGGGGAACATTATCGGACACGGAAAAGCACAACTTACTACAAGGAGAGCAGAAACGAAGAGGTGATTCCAATCGGGAATCACTGTGTAAAGAAGACAGAGAGCGGAATGGACGGCGGTGCTGCGTGCACACAGCAGCGACCGGAAGCAGCGTGCCCAGTACGGGATGCCATGTATAGATGGAGCCCAAGGGCAGTGCACTCAGACATGAATACGCACGCGCACCCGAGTACTGCGTTCAGTGCATGCGGGGACTGTGCCATAGAAGGGGAAGGGTTAGTGATGCGCAGCCAGCAAGTCCAGCGGTACATGAATGCATGAGTCAATGGTACAGCAGGCAGGCTGCGGTTCTTATACAAGTACACACGTTAGATCAATGCGAGTGAGTGTAGGGAGTAGGAAGGAGAAACCTGGAGACAGACAATGATATGCCTAGGGATAGAGTTCTGTCATGATGCTACTCATTACACTACATCTCCCCTAACGGAAAGAGTTGCAGGCCCAGACAATGCTATGCCCAGGGATAGAGTTCTGTCATGATGTTACTTATTACACCACATCTCCCCTAACGGAAAGAGTTGCAGGTCCATGTTTACATTGTCGAGATGAGCCGCTCCGGTGCAATGGCTGTGCGACTTGAACAGGTAGTGGAGGTGGCACTTGTGTTGGGCTCGGCGGCTGCAGGCATGCCGTTTTGGCTCGCCACAGGAGCTTCTCCACCGCTTGGTGGCTTCGGGCTGCGGCGGGAGTAGCCGTGAGGTGTTGCAGTGAGCCGTTGCAGTAAGCTGTTGCAGTCAGCCGTTGCAGTAAGCCGTTGCAGTAAGCCGTTGCAGTGAGCCGTTGCAGTGAGCCGTTGCAGTGGGCCGTTGCAGTGAGCCGTTGCAGTAAGCCGTTGCAGGTTGCAGTAAGCAGTGGGCCGTTGCAGTGAGCCGTTGCAGTAAGCCGTTGCAGGTTGCAGTAAGCCGTTGCAGTAAGCCGTTGCAGTAAGCCGTTAAGCCGTTGCAGTGAGCCGTTACAGTAAGCGGTTGCAGTGAGCTGTTGCAGTGAGCCGTTGCAGTGAGCTGTTGCAGTAAGCCGTTGCAGTAAGCTGTTGCAGTAAGCCGTTGCAGTGGGCCGTTGCAGTGAGCCGTTGCAGTAAGCCGTTGCAGGTTGCAGTAAGCCGTTGCAGTAAGCCGTTGCAGTAAGCTGATGCAGTGAGCCGTTGCAGTGAGCTGTTGCAGTAAGCTGTTGCAGTAAGCTGTTGCAGTAAGCCGTTGCAGTGGGCCGTTGCAGTGAGCCGTTGCAGTACGCCGTTGCAGTAAGCCGTTGCAGTAAGCCGTTGCAGTAAGCCGTTGCAGTAAGCTGTTGCAGTGAGCCGTTGCAGTGGGCCGTTGCAGTGAGCCGTTGCAGTACGCCGTTGCAGTAAGCCGTTGCAGTAAGCCGTTGCAGTAAGCCGTTGCAGTAAGCTGTTGCTGTTGGCTTGCAGTGGTGTGTCGTGAAGCGATCGCGGATGCGGCCATCGCGAGCGTCCTTGAAGTCGCCGTTGTCCGCGCCGCCGTAGAGACGATGCAGAAGTGACTCGTCCACGGTCTCGGATGGCGACTGTGTGTCGCGTTCGAACATCGTTCGTCCGTGGACGACGTTGGACACGGGCGTGACGTACGCCGAGAGTTTCGTCTCCACTTCCTGAGATTTATCGCGATCGCCGGCGTTGTCGAACGCGAGCCATCCTAGATCCTGAAGTTGCAGACCAGGTTCGTTGCGGATCAATGTTATTTTGTTATCACTGATCCTGTTCACTGCGCCATGTAGCGGTAGCTACTTAGAGTAGTTTCGCCTGACTGTTTATTGCAAAAGGGGGAACATTATCGGACACGGAAAAGCACAACTTACTACAAGGAGAGCAGAAACGAAGAGGTGATTCCAATCGGGAATCACTGTGTAAAGAAGACAGAGAGCGGAATGGACGGCGGTGCTGCGTGCACACAGCAGCGACCGGAAGCAGCGTGCCCAGTACGGGATGCCATGTATAGATGGAGCCCAAGGGCAGTGCACTCAGACATGAATACGCACGCGCACCCGAGTACTGCGTTCAGTGCATGCGGGGACTGTGCCATAGAAGGGGAAGGGTTAGTGATGCGCAGCCAGCAAGTCCAGCGGTACATGAATGCATGAGTCAATGGTACAGCAGGCAGGCTGCGGTTCTTATACAAGTACACACGTTAGATCAATGCGAGTGAGTGTAGGGAGTAGGAAGGAGAAACCTGGAGACAGACAATGATATGCCTAGGGATAGAGTTCTGTCATGATGCTACTCATTACACTACAAATACCATTATCATGAGCGAAGGTCTCTGAGAACTCATGTCTGAAGGCTGGTCATGTTGGCCCAACGATGACTTTCATTGCCTGTATCCGCCACCTTCATACTGGAATGAACTGGAACATGTTCACTCTCTGTTTCTCATGTGGAAGGACGGAACAGATTGTTTGTCTGTCTCTGTGGATCACCGAAGGCTGAACAGTACAGTTGGAAGAATATTGGATCTCACGAAGTGACTGAATCTGAAGCGGCTGACATGCATCTGCACAGCGCTTTCTTTCTGAGATTTGCTTCAAGGCAGGTTATTGTGTACAATTTTGTCCACAGTAATCCTATATTTGCCAAACGTATTTCTCTGATAGTATTGTGACTACACACGCGCAATGATCTCTCCGTCATCAGTCTTTCGCAATGATGTGGCTCACTGACGACAGGATGCATAGCCATAGATCAAATGAGCAGCTGAGGTAGTTGAATCAGAAGAATGGATCAATGCATCCTGAACCTGGTGTACTGCCTATATGCACCCTCAGTAGTATTTGTAACGTGTTAACTATGAAGTATCAACATTGCTTCTCTTCTATGTGGGTGGTGTGAGTGAATGTCAGATGGTCTGTACTGCCATGGCCGATGGTGTTCACTGGAAGATGTTGGGTTGGACCATTGTGCCCTTTTGCAATATGCTGTTGCAGCCTGAAGGCAATGAAAAAGTTCGAATGCTGATCTGCTTTCAAGCGTAGAATGTTACATATTTGCGTTATTATGTTTTGTACTGGAGTGTGAATGTGCGACAAGGGCATGCACATGTAAGTATATCGCACTGCAAACAGCCTAAGAGTTCACGTGGTGTGTGATAAGTACACTTTTGGAAAGTGCGTGCACAGTCGAATCATGTAATGTTAAAACAGCCTTCGTGCTCCTCCCTGAATGGCTGCACAAGTAGAAATCTCCGTCTTCCTTTGCTTCTTTTTGCTTGAGCTGGCATGGTGGTCGTAGAGTTGGAAATTGTCAAGTATGATAACAATCGTTGTTTGGTCTGGAGACAAGAATGCATTTGGATATTTGTCCCAGGACTGCATGGCTTCCCAAACTGCATGTTGAATGTCATAGATGATTATTGTTCGGTTCAAGAAAGGACTCGTGGGTCTGTCTGGCTATTGTGAGCTCTCGCTAGTCCATTTCCATAGCACTTGCTCTGGATTCACTCGCTGGAATATTCTCCAGTATAGAACAAGAAGTTTAGAAAACCTACTGGTGATAATTATTAGTATGTTATACTAGTTTCTCCGCACTGTACCGCAGCTTTTGTTATCACACACATGCGGGTTATATAGTTTATCTACAATCCAGCATGATGTTCTTCCAAGAACGCCCCCGACCTAGGCCCTCGGAACGACGTTCTTTGGTGTGCAACATCACTTATAGTTCTAAATCTTAGAATTACCGGTAAGCGCAGGATTTTAGTGATCACGGTTCCAAATGCATGTCATTGCACTCCACCTTTGAGACTTATTAAACATGTCATTGCACTCCACCTTTGGGATTTATTAAGAGCTGCATGCATGCCAAAGCTTGTCATAAAAGAAGAGCAGACTTAAATAGGCATCTTGTACGCATGATTTCTAACATGTAACATCCCTGCCGAAGAGTGTTCTTCCATACTACGGAGTCGAGCGTCCAAGAACGTTGTGTCCAAGAGGTTAGCCTTGGGTGTTCTTATTTTTCAGCCATCCGGCTGCGCTCTTGTAGCATGTTCTTAGAAACAATCATGTTAGGATCATAATTATGTATCCCGAAAGCTACCGGAAAACCAACACCGCCATTCTTTCAAACTTAAGGCGGTGGTGTTCTTAGCATTTCAGGCTGGACATTCTTGGGCAACACGTTCTTCGGCGCCTGACTCTACTGTAGTACTGTACATGAAATACAGCTGCTACAACTGTAGTAATATAGAATGCTGATTATCCGAATGATTGATTGTCCAAACTGCTCAGGCTGCATGGCAGCAGGCTGTCATCAACATGCATCCCATGATAATTTCGAGGAGCTGGAGTGTGTGCCAAAAAGAATGAGAAATGAAAGTATGCATGAGGAAATGAGTATGTTTTAGATGAGTGTTTTCCCACGCCCTTATCCGAACATACATGCACTCGATCGCCATAACCCCTGGCATACAGCACACAGCTTCAGAACCTGACAGAGTATGATATGGGTATGTCACAAGTACTCCCAGGTCCCGAAGCTTTCGTCTCAACAAAGGATCATAATCGACGACTTGTAATGAACTACATTTTGGTGGTATAAAACCGTACTTGTTTACGAATGAGTTTAAAAGCATGAGAACTATCCACAGCAGACATTCTCACTGTTCGGAGTTGCCAAAAAAGTGGTGCATGTACAAATCAGGGATGGGTACAATACAGTGTACCAACATCTGAGGTGAGTCTATCAGGAAAGTGAATGTCGTCCACTCTATAAAATGGGGTCCCTCAAGAAAGATGGGATTTTGCAGCCATGGACGTTTCCAGCCAGGTGACTGTATATACAGTGATCTAAGTTATGCAAAGCTTGACATGAATGATTGGCTGGACACGTCGAAGAGAAGGAAGAGAGAAGCAGACCAACCTTACACCAGCTGAGTGTAGTGACCCAAAACAACAAACTAATTCTGTGTGGCCTTAGAGGAGCTGGGCAAGATGTGTACAGTGAATTAAACAATACAGTAAACGTGGGAGAAGAAGTGACAAGACTGAGTATGATACACTGTGCCAGCACAGTGCACATACTAGTGCAACTGTTGGTGTAGTTACAGTTAGCCCACACAAGCAGGTCACTCGATTGTAGATACACAGAGCACATTCTACATCATACAAAACATGTTGAGCTAGGTAGCAGTGGCTGGCATTTACCGACATGCACCAATGCCAATGCGCGGCTTGAGCAAATATTACAAGCCTCAGAACACCCATACGCCATTTTAGAGACAGAACAAGGCGATGAGTAAGCACCAAAGGATTATATGAATAGCGGCCAGGCAATAATTCAGACCACTGCTGCTAATCAAGGACTAGTTCCTAGTACTAGTATGTTGTCAGTGTACCCTGAAACGATGCAATCACAGCGAACGTGATACATGCACATCATGTTGCCTGGTTCTTGGTTAAAAGTTGTATCCTCAATGCTTGAGGTTTGTGGGGTCCCTCCAGCTTCTCAGAGTCCTACACAAAAAAGATAAAAGCAAGTGCAGGTAGAATAATAGTAAGCTCACATAAAACCTCTTCGTCTTGCTAACAAATTTCGTGATTAAATCCACAGCATGGGAACGAAGCTACAGGAAAAAAAGTTCAACCATAATAATGCAAAAAGGCAACTTTAGCTAATCATATTTTTGGCAGCAACACTATACTGTTTGTATAGGAGAGTTGGCTTGGTGCATTCATGCCAAATGAACTCCCTATAGTATTGTATTACTGTACTTCATCATTTTAGTTGAGCATTCATTCCCAGTAGCCCTAATGTCTTCTAACAGAGTGCGCAAGGTACTGCATATTCGGCGCATATTTTATTTTCGGCTAATATCGGCCTGTGCATTTTTAATTCGGAAAGTGGTGGACATCACGCAACTGAATTGTAAATAAAAGGAGGTTTGTCAACTGACAACCGCATACTTTTTCGACATCACTAATAAAAGAATTTTGCGTCCAGCGCATGCGCCAGGAGTGAATAGCAACTGAATAGAGCGGTTGTCATTTATTTACAGTCAACTTCGCTAATAACGACTGCGGATATAACGACAATTCGCGAATAACGACAGAATTTCCATGCCCAGAGCAAAGTCCCATCCAACTGTAATACATATAATGAGACTTCGGGTATAACGACACTTCGCGAATAAGGACACTTTTTTGATGCCCCGCCGAATGTCGTTATAAACGAAGTTGACTGTACTAGAGGAAACGCAAAAGGTAACAAGATTATGTAACCAAAGGTGAGAAGGCACTGAACGAACTGTCAACCTACGAATACAACCTCAGTGCAACAACGTGCTCTTTCTGCTTACACAAGCAGAAAGAGAAAGAGCATGTTGTTGCACTGAGGTTGTATTCGTAGGTTGTATTCGTAGGTTGACACTTCGTTCAGTGCCTTCTCCCCTTTTATGTACTGGGCATTTGTAGCCTAAAATTTGTTTCGCAAGGTTCAATGTGACAGTGTATACAGGCATCAGCAGTACAGGCTGAAATTTCAATGTGGCCGAGATGTGTTTTTGCCCTGGGGAGACTGCAATTTAAAAGCGTCGAAAATTTGCATACTTTACAACACAGTACTAAGCATGCGGTGAGCTGATGATGAAATGAATTGGAGGTACTAATAATGCTAAGGGATTCGGGGGCGCATCAAAGGGGTCAGCACCAAGGAATGGGATAGATTTGTGCCCAGTTCGGGTATGTATATTGGGTATAGAACGGAAATTATTGGCTAAGCCTCGGGCGACTCCTACCAGTATTGCCACCAATGGCCCATGGCTACTGATCTCTGTGATAGAAATGAGACGTGTATGTGAAACCAAAATATGGCTTTTCAAGATGTACTGTAAGACATGCTGTTATAACGAGTCGCAAATTTAATGACTGTCCAAAATTCATAGGTTAACGAGAAGATATGTTAACAATCTTGCAGTATTCTGCCATATCCACACACAGCATATATGAAGCAGTACGGCCTCAACGGATCTATTATAACGAAGAAATGTCATCCGTTAAAACGTTAGATTTGCTTCCTCGTTATATAATATATACTGTAAGACATGATTGTATATTATAAAATCAAGTCTTACAGTATGTGCATTTTGTGAAGATCTGATGTAAGTCATTAGGGACACCTCGTTGGGTCTTGCCAACATTCAATTATTATGATGTTCATATCTATGCAATAACGTTAATGGAATTATCAGCAAGAATCAATAACCCCAAGAGTATGCAGCTTTGCACATGGAGTCTGCCACAACACGTTTACCAAAGTACATGAACGTAGACACGAGCTGAGGAATCAGCTGAGCTGCTGCATCATTTATGATCTGCTATAGTTTCCAGTCTCCATGGAGGTTTTTCTTGGAGACGTCGAATCTACAGTATTAGGTGTGAAACTGTTGTACTAAACCGCAGGAGATAGACTCTATTCAGCTCGGACAACATTTCACAAGCACGCCGATCAAAGCTTGCTACACTCCCGTTTAGTCAACTTAACGGCCCAAATAATGCTTGGGTCATGAACTCATCGCTGTTGGTCTTTCGAGGGTGCCTGACAATGGTTGTTAGTGCACAGCACCAGCCGGGCCAAATGACAAGATCAGAGACATAGATCTTCCTAGTTCAAATGCTGAAAGGTGACTTGTGCAAACGTTATGTAGCAAAAGGAACTGTACTATGGCACTACACGCCATTCACAATAATCAAAAATGCCCACTTGACAAAACAGAATTTCATCAACGGAGTCCCAGGATTTTTCTTCTGTACATATGCATTATGGAGTCATAGCATAAGGGAGACGGCACGGTAGACTTTCAGCCTAAATCATAACGAGGGCCAGCTGGGCAGCTCAAAAGAGAGCTCTATGCACTATTGGCAGAGTGGTATACATGAATAGAGAGTGACCACCCAGTGCATGAAGCTTTTCGTGTCACCCTAGAAAATTTCAAAAATTAATAATGTGGGTTCAACCCTGGGCTGCCAGTGACAGTTGCCCTAACTGCCTTAGGGGCAAGTGCGATACATACATGCTCGCATATAGCATCGCTTGACTGACCCATGCTTGGGGCCAGTGAGTCAAGTCTGCAATCATGAGTTGCATAAACCACAGATCATGTAGAATCTCCATGGATCCAATCTGTGTACTGTAAAAGCAGAAATTTTCGGTGGTGTAATATTTTCGGAATTCTCCAAAATCGGCGATTCGGTGGAGGGAAATTTTCGGTAATACCCGCTTTCCAGGTAAGGGTGCTAGTACCACTAAGTAGTACCGAAAAAGTTCGGTGCATTTTTTCGGTAAAAATTGTCGGCACCGAAGTTACCGAAAATAAAACACCACTGAAAATTTCCGCTTTTACAGTACATCATTTTGGGTATCATGATCTCGTGTTGTTTCCTTGGGTGCTACGACTCCCTGACATCCATGGAACGGTATGAATTGGGCGATTTCAGCCAATCAGTAGACGTTCTGAGAGGGGTATATTCAACGATACACCCCGCTCAGTTCACAAGGGTCGCGCCAAGAGTGAATATTGGAAGGAGTCTTGGGAAAGTGCCCTGGGAGAAATGGATTGCACCATTCTATACATGTACTGCATTCCCCATAATTTCCTCGTGCTATGTCCTCAGGAAAATATTTAACGTATACCCTTCATATACTCATAGAATAATCCAAACGTATCTGCAGTCAACCACGGGTATAACAACCCACGGATAGTGACACTATCTTCAGACCTAGTAACAATATAGCCGTATATTTTCAACCCCGTGAATGACGACAACTCCCAAATACCAACACTTTTCTCATGCCCGATCAAGGGTCGTTCGTTACTGGCAAAGTTAGCTGGATATCATGTCATGTAGTCATTATTACTTCAGGCAGGGACAATGAAATACCCCCCCCCCCTTTCCTGCAGAGGGAACAGTGCTGTGTCCAGGTCCGCATGCAGCATGGAGGTGCTAGTAAGTCACTGGCATTATTTTCTCTTGTGGATCGATGTACAGTGCGTGACAATGCTTCCATAACGTTAGTGGTGGTGATGGTGGCGGGAGCATACTGCACTGCAGGGCATTACAGCACTGGCATACTATTATTTTCTCTTGCAGACGTGCCGTGCACGACAATGCTTCTATAGTGGTGGTCACGGTGATGGTAGTGGTGGCGGTGTGGTGGTGGTCACAGTGGTGGTGTGGTGGTGGTGGTGGTGGTGGTGGTCACAGTGGTGGTGTGGTGGTGGTCACAGTGGTGGTGGTGGAGGTGGTGGTGGCGGTGGTGGTGGTGGCGGTGGCGGTGGTGGTGGTGGTGCTGCTGCTGGTAGTGGTGGCGGCGGTGGTAGTTGCGGTGGTGGGAGCATTCTGCACTGCAGGGCATTAAAACAAGCTCGATTGTGCATGCATGGTGGCGGTGGGAAAGAGGAGCCAAGGAAAGTGTGTACATATTTTTGTTGAAAGCACGAGAATTCAAAGAAAGCTGGCTGCTGCCTCTATTTCCATGATCGGCCAGTGCCTGCAGCACGAACAGTACATTGTATTACATGTATGTGCATAGACAGACAAATAAACACTAACCTGAGCATGGGTACCGCTTGTATTCGTGGTCAGGAAAGTGAAAGTACGAACGAAGGAGAAGAAGATTGTTGACCATGGCGAACAACTGCATATCCAGAGGGCACACGGCTTGCCAGAATGGGTCGGCTACATCTTCGCTAATTTTCTATCCTAACAACATTCAGCTTCGAGGTCAAGGACGACGGCATTTTTGGAAAGAAATTTCGAATTTTGGAGAAGAAGCTTGCTTTCGGAAAAATGTTCCTTTCACGCAAGGCAGCATGCCAGGTCAGGCGCGTGTGAACCAGGTGAACTGTGTCGGCAGATCCACGTTTACGTTCCAGGCCGACAGTTTTTTGACCAAGCCGTGAATCGCCCTCGCTCTGACTCCCCCGGCTACGAAGGAGTAATTTTACAACTCTTCAGGCCAGCTACAGGTCTCTGATGCAGAGCTGCAAGTGACGGATATCGGTCATTTGCAGCCACTACTAAGAGCCTCCTGGTCGTTGCAATCTGATACATAATATACCTCGTGAATCGCCCTCGCTCTGACTCCCCCGGCTACGAAGGAGTAATTTTACAACTCTTCAGGCCAGCTACAGGTCTCTGATGCAGAGCTGCAAGTGACGGATATCGGTCATTTGCAGCCACTACGTAAGAGCCTCCTGGTCGTTGCAATCTGATACATAATATACCTCCCGTGAGGTCATGTATCAAGCCGGTATTGCCCGTGTACGAGTGCGTACGAGGCGCAGTAAATCATTTATTGCATGCTTGACCCAAACATTCCAGAAAATGGAGAGACCCCTTTCCGACTTTCTCAGTCTCCCGACACACTTGTTCAGTGGTAAACGTCGTTTGTGGTTTTGAAATTCTCTATTTCTTTACGATATCGATGGTGTTGTTGTTCGTGATTGAGCACTGCGTGTAGGAAGTCCTGGAACAGGAACTGAAACTGGGATGGGCTCCACAACTTCGTCTCGAACGCATTCAGTTCGTCAAGTTCGTCGGCTGCTCACCAACGCATCGATATCGATGTCAAGGTTGCATTCACCTGCTGAGGCGGCTGGTTCAGGTGGCTGGAACAAGTAAGTTATTGTCAGCTCAGTTACATGCGCGCGCGTGTGGTCTGTCATTCTCGTGCTTTGTAGTTTGTAGTCAGATCAAGTTAGTTGCTGTTTTGTGTTTCAAATTTGAAACTCCGAACTGTAGCAACTTGATCTGATCACGAACCACAAAGTACAAGAATGACAGTCCGCATGCGCGTACATGTAACTGAGCGGGCAATAACTTGCCGGGCAATACCGAGAAATACAGACCGCTGAGCAAGAGCGCTCATTGGCTGTAGTACAGGCAACCCTCACGTGACATGCAATAAACACTGTTTATCTACTCTTGCCTTGGTACTAGTAGTTGTAGTACGTACAAAACAGGGAGTACTAAAAATACCACTTCCTACATGAGTGTAGTTCTGACGTTCTGTGCATGCTGCGTGTGCTCAGTCGACTCGGCTAGCTGCAGTCAGCCAGGCATGTATGCATGCAGGATCCTGGCTTTGTAGTTTGTTGCCTGAGCTGCAAAGATTGCATGTACATGTACGAGTGCCGGTATAAAATTATGTACAAAAGACAACAACACACTATTATTTTTTGCAGCTACCAAAAAGTAGTTTCTCTTTTTAGAGTTCAGTGTGCTGAACGTGATTGTGAGCGCTTGTTGTTTCCAAGTCTTAGTTCTTTTGTAGACACTGTGTTTGTAGTTCAACGCAATGCCTCCACCACAAGCAGGCAGGGGTTCCCGCGGGGCTCGCGGAAAGGTGTTTGTGGGAGGCGCTGGCAAAGATATGGATGATGATGCTTTGAAGGATGTGTTTGAGAAGTTTGGAGAGCTAGTTGATTGTAAGTCGAACCTAAACATTCGAATTCAGTGCCGCACTGTGCCTGCTGCGCTGCTGAATAACCACTGGACTGTAAAGTCTGTAGATCTGCCAAGAGGCAGGTGATGCATACACAGACTCTGTACCTTGGCGTTAAAGGGGAAGTTAAGGCAAAAATTAAAATTTCACCAGTTGTAGTCTTCGGGGTGCTGAGTCGAATGGTCGTGGTCCGAGGAAGCTGAGACGCTCCCTTCCTACTTGAATCCCAATCGAACTCGCGCACTTCCACCGAAACTGGGTGACTGCGCCCTACTAGATGGGGATTTGTATGCAAAATGTCACTAAAAGCGCCATTTCGTTCTTATAAAAGCACGGATGACCGCGATTGGCCCATATGTTGTAGTCTTTTGGACGCTGAGTCGACTGGTTTTGGTCCGAAAAGGCTGCGATGCGGCGTTCCTCCTTTATTCCCAATCGAACATGGTTGAAGAAGCGGTCACGTGCTCCTGCGTACACCAGTCACCTGGTCACCGTGCCTGCAGGGTACAACTTACTAGCCTGTTTGACCTTTTTTGGGTGCAGTCCTGTCACTCGAGTTGAACTCGAGTTGAACCTTGGTGTGAAAGTTGTCACCTGCTGGCGTGGTGACCAGGTGATTTGGGCACCCAGGAGCACGTGACCGCTTCTTCAACCATGTTCGATTGGGAATAAAGGAGGAACGCTGCATCGCAGCCTTTTCGGACCAAAACCAGTCGACTCAGCGTCCAAAAGACTACAACATATGGGCCAATCGCGGTCATCCGTGCTTTTATAAGAACGAAATGGCGCTTTTAGTGACATTTTGCATACAAATCCCCATCTAGTAGGGCGCAGTCACCCAGTTTCGGTGGAAGTGCGCGAGTTCGATTGGGATTCAAGTAGGAAGGGAGCGTCTCAGCTTCCTCGGACCAAGACCATTCGACTCAGCACCCCGAAGACTACAACTGGTGAAATTTTAATTTTTGCCTTAACTTCCCCTTTAACCCTTTGTGTACCAGGCATCTAATGTATGCGCGGGGTACTCATCGGTAATGATGGACCTATAGCATAAAACTAAGACACATTTTGTATGTGCAAGTTATGTTTTTCTGAATCTGTTGGTATCAATGTGTCCAGGTAAGAACATATTTTGACCGAGCACACAACTTCAGATACAGGCCATACCTGGAATACCTATTTCTGAGTCAATTGTCCATATTTCTGACAATTTAGATCTGTGTACTTGGAATCGTGAATATACTTGCTGACATTGCCCTTCTTCACACAGAGCAACAGGAGACCACTGCACTAGTGTATAGCCGCCAGTTGCATGCTTCAACAATAGCGAAATGGACGGAAAGAGCCATATTGCGTGAATACCAGATGCCAAACAATTGCATCAAAAATTCAAATTATTGAAATTGTGTCAGATTTGAATATGTACTTTTCACTTATCTACTTGCGTCCAGCGAGGGTATTGGCGATTGAGAAGACCAGGAATAGTCGATGGGTGAGGAAATTCACCTGCCTTGATTATTTTAGGCCATCGCTGCGCTCCCTCTCGCTGCTGCTTGGAGAGCGAATACTGCAATGGCTTCAGCGATGGAAATTCTCATTTTCGATTCAGATCCTGAGATTATATCGCTACTACAACTCTCTCCTGGCGTTCACCATCACTAGTAGACATCGACAACAGCTAGAGCAAGCTATATTCCAGATACAAGCAGCGTAACCGAACGAAAACACGATCGAAATTGCTAAAATATATCGCAGAGCGCTGAAATTGCAAAGCGCACTTTTCGCCGCGATCGTTCTCCATACTTTCAAATGGCAACCTGCCCACATCATACATCAAAATTTGCAGTGGGATCTCAGCTGCCCAGCGCAAAAGACCGCGAGTCGATCGGAGCAAGGACGCCGCCGAACGGCGCGGCGCAGTGCGGTGCGTCGAACCGTAACGTACGTTACGGTTCGAGATGGGGCTGGTACACAAAGGGTTAAAGGGGAAGTTAAGGCTAAAATCAAAAGTTCACCAGTTGTAGGCTTCGGGGTGCTGAGTCGAATGGTCTTGGTCCGAGAAAGCTGAGACGCTCCCTTCCTACTTGAATCCCAATCGAACTCGCGCACTTCCACCGAAACTGGGTGACTGCCCCCTACTAGATGGGGATTTGTATGCAAAATGTCACTAAAAGCGCCATTTCGTTCTTATAAAAGCGCGGATGACCGCGATTGGCCCATATGTTGTAGTCTTTTGGACGCTGAGTGGACTGGTTTTGGTCTGAAAAGGCTGCGATGCAGCGTTCCTCCTTTATTCCCAATCGAACATGGTTGAACAAGTGGTCACGTGCTCCTGCACCCAAAAAGCAGGCTAGTAAGTTGTACATGGCATGTACATTGTACAGTCAGTGTGTGACCACACTCATCATGCTCATGCATTACAAAATTCATGACAACTTCGGGGTGCCATATCGGTTACCATGGCAACGAAGCGAATTTTCATATTTTTCGGCAATTTTTGAATGCTCTGGAAAAAATTGCTGAGAAGAAAAATTCGCACCCTGTGGCCAGCATCGGCGGTGAAGGGTGTCCGATTTTGGGCGAAAATTATTCGGCAGCACTGAGCTTGTGACTTTCAAAATCAACTTGCACGGTACATTTTGGAGCTTTCAATTTTTTGGACCAGGATTTCGCATAATTTTGGTTCAGAATTTATGGGGACCACAAACTTCGGTGGTGTTGCAGAAATTCAATCCATTTTAAGATTTTTTACGCTCATTTCCCTTGCAGGATTACCGCAGGATTTGCAGAATTTGCGCAGAATTTACTGTTTTCAGCCGCAGAATTCTGCACGGAATTTCTGATACTAGACACCCTTAGCAAACAACGGTAACGCTATTTTTTACGGTACTCGTACCTTGATCACCCAAATAGCGTTGAAGCTGCAGCGTATAAACGTTATGGGGGCTGATTTTTCGTTGTGACCAACGGTACGTGTTTTGGCCAAATATTGCATAGTCCGTACGCATTTCACCTTGTATCGCGTATATGGTGACAAAAATGGTTGTGCCGCGCGAAATCAAAGCTACTCTCGTGGCAACAGCGTACTAAAAATAGCGTACATCTTGCTAAAGGTCGAACCCAAATCACGCTATTTTCCCCCTTACGATAATCATAATACCGTTACAACATAACGTTTTTTGCTAAGGGTGTCTATTAGGGAGGTTCAGCAACTTTACGTTAGTGGGCGGGAAAAACCAGTGAATTCGCGAGTTTGCACTCCACTTACGGAAAGTTGTCTACGGAGAGTACGTAGATAGGGCTCTGATAACGTAGCTGATCCGTACGTGGATTGGGGTACACATTTATGACTCTCTCCCCAGGTCAATCTGGTCGTACACTGCCGCGTTCGGAGTTGCCAAGGGCAGCTACGTGATTTGAAAACTCCGTATGGCGGAACCCAGATGTGCATGCAGTTTGCGTAAGACTTTCCGTAGATCGACTACTTTTTTTACTCACGTAATTGCGTTATGCGGAACCTCTCTAATCTGCCGCGGAATTCACGGGGGACAGCAAAGTAAAGTCCAATGGTGACACTGCAGCGTATATATTTTGTGCTGTGATTTGGCAATCGTTATGCTGTACACAAGAGTACTTAAACCCAAGTGTGCAACTCTGCATCTATGCTGCATAAAACCAATTCATTCCCGCGGCGATTTTTTGTGTTTGGTCATTATGGTAGGGACGTTTTGCTCTACGTAATTGCGTATCAAAATAACGTAGGAACTGCGCGTGAATTTCCTTTCTAAAAATCAGCGCTGTTGAGTTTCGCTCTACGTGATTTCTCCACGACTGCTAAGCAAGCCTTGTTGCTTTGGGGACGTGTTGACTGCATGCGTCCACCGCATGCAACACGAACCGAAACCGCGTTTTCCATTTTGTTTTCCACATGGTGTGTGCCTTGTGTTTCCCACGGCTTGAACGTTACCATGGATAAATCGGGAAAGTGCGAAAATATTTCAATAAGTCCTACGTAGGAAAGAGCTTTCCGACGGAAATCCGTAGAGAGATTTACGTATGAACGTTGCCCTCGCTTCCCGGCGCGTATGGCATACGGATTTTTATACTTAATTATGTAGAGCCAAGCCTCCCTGGTAGCAGTGGTGAGGCTTCCTTCAGCTTCATTCGTGGGAAGAGGGTTTTAGAGCAGACCCACTGTACTCCATTCACTCAGCAACAATATTGAACTCGTGTATCAATCCATTCTTACAACTGGAATAATGAATTTGGGTGGACACATATAAACTGCTCCTGTGTGGGTTCCACTGTATTCACTGTTCTTATTACCTGATGATGGCCAAATGCCAATCTCGAACTGGCATTTCTGGTTAATTAGAAGCACCACTGAATCCGCTTGTAGAAAATATTTGGGGTTTGTGCTGATAATTCGAAGTTAACAAAGCATAATTCGAAGTTCACTGTACACAATACAAGTCAGCTCAGTGTGCATGAGTAGGCTGTACTGGCCAGTTCAGTGTCCGCGAAATCTGCGCCTATTAGGTGCACTGCGCAACTATGGGTGACAATGTGACCCTTTGACATGCCAAATTTGTTGTGGGTACGTGTTTGGATAATTGGAGTGTCTGGATAATTAGAAGTTTTTCAGTGGCATTTTCGGGTTCGAATTATCAGGATTCCGCCTGTACTGTAAACCACCCAATATTCAGGTCGCTAAATTTTTGCAGTTTCCCAGAACCATCACTCTTGCAAAACAAGCGTACTTTAGCTAATCTTGCTATATTTTTTCTCCTTTTGGCTTTCCTTCCAGGGGTCATCATCCGTGACCGAGAAACTCGCCAGTCGCGTGGCTTTGGCTTTGTGACGTTCCAGGATCCGCAGCATGCGAAGATTGCTATTGAGAAAATGAACCATCACGTAAGCTGCGTCATCAGTGCACATGCGTGTGTCACGTTATGGATACCGACAGGATGTTCTGTGTGTGTGTGTGTGTGTGTGTGTGTGTGTGTTTTTTTTGTTCTCTGCTCTGGTGGAGAACGGTTGTACCTTTTCGGGCTCTTGTTTCTGGCCTCCGTCCGTGCTTGTTCTCGCCGTTGTGGACGGCCTGGGGTGTCTCCAGCCGTCCAGGCCAACAGTGCCTGAGGTGGGGTATTCACCGACAGGAGACTTGGTCGGATAGTTACGATGCCGACACTCTCCTCGTCGCCCCCACCTTATTATTATTGTCTTCACCAATTTCACACACGACACCACTGCATAATGCACACATGCATGTACATGCTACATCACACTGCGGTATTGCTGGTCACATCAAGGATGATCATCACACAGATCTCAAGTATTGTAACTCTGATTCAAATCGCTGTGTGTTTTTCAGCAAACATAGCAACTGTGATATGAGCGTGCAGTGTTTCTGCACATTTCGGATTTGAGCTGGTTTTTCAGCGGCAGATCAAAAACATTCATTTTTACGCAGTCGCCAAAAGACAAAGTGGGCACCCGCTTGCCCATTCTAACTTCTTGTTGCCAGCTCCAAGATCGACAACATGTCACTACTGTACTCGAGTTGGCTGAAGGCTCCCATCTTTGCAAACGCGATGTGCTCTTTGAACAGCACGTAGTTTCTACGCGACTTATTTCTGACTAACCTTCGCTGCTGCTGCTCTGTCGATCTTGCACAGCGCCTGTGCAACAGGAGCGTAATTGACTGGATTTGCAGAAGACTGCTCCTTTCGATAGAGGCATATCGCAAGCTGGCACACATTTCTGACGCCTTTTTTCCCTGGAACAGGGACGTTTTCAATATTTCGAATTGTACAAGCGCCTCGCGTAATAGTTCCTATTGTAGCGAGAAAGCGAAGAAATTTCATTTCAAAACTCCTCGATCGTTTGCTACGCTCAAACTGGAGCTACACTGAAGTGGACAGCTCCCTGTCTTGCTGTGAAACCCTCTTGTCACAGGTTGCTGCTCCGACTTCGTGAGACTTCTTCCCAGGCAGAGCACCATTGTCCTCAGCTGTTCTCTTTCCCAGCGACGCTATTTTTGTGAATTTCGATCGGACAGATTGTCCGTTCAAGAAAAAAAGCGCCGGATTCGAATCGAAAATGGTCGGAAAATGTCCGATGTCCGACCGTTATCGTGTCCCCTGGTATGTGTGTGTGTGTGTGTGTGTGTGTGACTGTGTGTGTGACTGTGTGTGTGACTGTGTGTGTGACTGTGTGTGGGTACATGGTGTGTGTGACTGTGTATGGCACATGGTGTGTGTGTGTGTGTGTGTGTGTGTGTGTGTGTGTGTGTGTGTGTGTGTGTAACGACCTCGCTGCATGATGTCAGCTCCCTCACCAGATAAACGCATGCGCATGAAACATTTCTTCCTCTTTGTTCTAAATAAAACAACAACAATTAGACAAAGTTGCCCTCTCCTCGGGGTTGTAATTTATTAGGCCCCAGGGTGGTATGTCCCGGGATTCATCTGTCTCCACCGTGAACAGATACGACCTCTGCCATCTTGGGTGCCTAAATGTGTGTGTGTGCGTGTGTGTGTGTGTGTGTGCAGGGATCGATTTACTTTGATTTTTTTGCATAGCAGTCACTGCTACACAGTTTTACAATTGACTAGCAACTCCCAGTATCAAGAGTGCATAAACAAGAGTATGCAACTCTGGTTATTGTGGTATCATCAAGTCTATGTGATGATTAGTTATATTGAAATAGAATAATGCAACGAAGGACTGAGAGAGGACGACTCGTCAGGAAACTACCAAGGAAAGACTGAACAGCAACAAGAGACATGCACTGTCGATTATGGGCACGGAGTACACACATGCATGCATAGTATGAGTAGTATGCTGTAAGGTTGTACGCACGTCCATGCAAGGAGATGCAGTAGCATGATAAGAAACATGAGAGTGCAAATATGTACGATGTACACGGGTACACCACAGTTATGGCCCAGTGCGCGGCGCGCTGCCTTCATTACGTAACTTGCTTTCATCACGCTCTGAAAGCATGCATTCAAACTCACAATTTCTCGTACGAGCCCATCCGTTTTTGCTCGATTCGTTCCAGTACCTACGCGATCTCTGAATTCTGGCGCGTGAACTCCAGTTCCGTACGAAAGTTCATTTCAAACCAGAGGGAAAGTGCGGTGTTTGCTTTTTCGCAGTGCGCGGAGGCCGCGGCCTGCAGCTGAATGATGTAATGAAGGCAGCGCGCCGCGCATCTGGCCCATAGAAAAGAGATCACAGTTGCATACTCTTGTTTATGGACTCTTGCCAGTATTGAATAGCAGTTTTCCTTCATCGAAAGTTTACATGTATATCTGTACAATAGCAGGATTTTGTACAGAAGAGGACAATAGCTGCAGTTGCTATTTGCTTTTCCAAACGAACGGTTGACCTGGATATTTTACGTTAGGGTTTTCGCTTGGGCTTGTTACATGTTCAGCGTACATCCGACTTCGAGTTCTTCACAGCACAATGTCCTTCAACAGGGCAGTTCCACTGATTCCTTCCACAAAGAAAGCTCAAAAAAGCGCTCAAACGATCGTGACACTTCGTTCAAAGCGCACAGAATTTTCGCTTTTCTCCTTTTCTTCATCGAAACCAGGCCAGGTGGTTGGAGTAGTAAAATACTACTCCCTAGTCAGCAGTGTGTGCAACAGTCGCATGCAAACTGCACACATACAGTACAGAATGGTCTTTGTACATACCGGTATGCGTGGCCAGTGCATCGCAGTTTTGGGCGATAAAAACGAAAAGCGAATCGCAGCCAGTGAATTTTGATTCGCAAACTGAGATGCGAACCCGGATAAATCGAACCCTGGTGTGTGTGTGTGTGTGACTGTGTGTGTGTGTGTATGTGTGTGTGTGTGTGTGTGGTGTGCGTGTGGTGTGTGTGTGTGTGTGTGTCGAGGTTCTTGCTGGTGTGAGGATCGGCGGGATGTGAGACAATTGAGGAGGTATTTGAAAATTGTAGCTAACCTTGGATACTGCTGCCTGTGCGTGTTCTTACAGGAAATCAATGGTCGGCAATTGCATGTGGTTGCAGCTGCGGCCCGTGAAGGGGATGATGAGTTTGGAAGACCTACAGAACGCCGCCGCAATGATTATCACCGTGATGCCAGGCACTCGCCGGGCGAGCGCCGTCATCCAGAAGACCGGTACCACGACCGTAGGCCGCCGTTTGACGAACGGCCACCGTACAGTGAGCGGATGGCATCCCGCCGTGACTTTGACAGGGAGCCGCATCGCCCGGATCACCGCCACTATGACGAGCCGCCGCGGCGCTACGAAGAACGCCCGCCGCCACCCCGGTATGAAGAGCGCCCAGCTCCACCGCGCTACGAAGAGAGAGGTCCTCCTCCGCCGAGGCATGATGATCGCTTCGCGCCACCCAGACGTGATGACCGCCCTCCTCCACCACGGCGTGAGGAGCCACGATATGAGGAGCGCCCAGCTCCTCCTGCCCGACCAGAGGAAAGACCTGCTCCACCACGCTATGAAGAGAGGCCAGCAGCGCCGCGGTATGAAGAAAGAGCTCCTGCGCCAAGGTATGAAGAGCGTCCTCCCCAGCCTGCCTACGAAAGCCAAGCGCGTGCGCCAGTGTACGAGGATCGGCAGCCCGCCCCCAAGTATCAGGATGTGGGTGCACCGGGACACCCGCGTGTTGACAGCCGTCCCATGCCTGGCAGTGCAGTGCCCAGCCGTGCTGATGACCGGGTCCCTCCAGCACAGCAGCCACCTGCACGCCGTCGTCCCGAGCACGCTGTGTATGACACTGGTGTTCCCTTGGAAAGACCAGCTGCCTCTGGCGCCCGACCAGCCGCACCAGCGCAGCCTACACAGTACTCTGCACAGCCAGCGCACGATCGAGCATCTTACGGCGATCGAAGCATGCCTCCTCCAGCTGCTGCCAGTGCTCCCACTCGCCAACCTGCTTCCTATCAGGCGAGCAGGCCCAGTGAGCCGTCGGACTCGCGCAGCAGTTATCAATCGCCTAACCGCTACCCGTCGTCCAATCCCGAGTATGGCCAGCCATCTTCTGACTATGGACGCCCTGCAACCTCCCAGCCACCCCGAGCACAGCAGCCACCACAACAGCAGCAGCCACCGCAACAGCAGCAGCAGCCACCGCAGCGTGCCCACCCTGCTGAACGTGCGCCAGCGTACAATGGAGGACAGCAGCAGCAGCAGCAGCCGGCAGATTATGAATACAGAGAGAGGAGAGCTCCCAACTCCGATGCACACTACGCCCCAAATGCTGCACAGCGACCCGCAACTAATGAGTATGCTCGTCCTGCTCCCGCTGCTGCTAGTCGAGCACCATCACGTGCCCCAGCACCCTACCAAGGTGGATCAGACACCTATGTTAATGAAGGTACAGTCCACCTACCCTTATAACGATAACCCCTATGTTAAACGATATTAGGCCAAAACAAATAATAACTTTGTTTCGGGTCGGCCGACCGGGCCATTTTTTCCCAAATTCTGAAGCTTTTTTTGGTCCCAAATGTATACGGACGGTGCAGATGCCATGTGTGCAAGTGCATTCAACGAGTCATAGCTCAGTCAAATCGCAACGGAATTCAACAATCGAAATACCAACGAGGTAGCAGAGATTCTTAGCTGTCGGCTCGAAAACTCCGGGGTCGATACGAGCCAGTATATTAAACGGAGCTGAACGCACTCGAACCTTTTGCTTGATTTCTCAGGATGTAGGGCAACAGGAATACACCACATGCTGTACAAGAACAGTGAGTCAGTCAACTGTGACATTGATCCTTGCCATTTATTTATGTATTTATTATTAGTGTTGAAACGATCTCACCGGGTACTCGTTAGCTCGCTCGCCAGAAACTCGGCTCGTTTGTGCGGCCAGCTCGTTTGCACTAACGAACACCGTACACCGTATTCCGTACACATGGCAGTACATGCCGACCGGGGAGTCGGAAATTTTTTTACGACTCCCTGGTCGATCCAGAGTCCAATCCCACGCAAATTGAAAATCACTCGCAGTTACAGTGACTGTATGCCGCCTGCACGACACTGCGTTGTTTCAGTTGGCGTTGCAGCTTTGGTGGACTCCACTGATGTCTTGTTCCGCATCTGCTGACCTGCTGCAGGACAAACTTCTGTCAACTCTCCATTCGAGTGAAGGTTATGCTCAGTCGTTTGGAAGTTTTCTCCCGCGATGCAGCGAAGAACAGGGCTACAGTCTTTTCAAAACGGTCTATTCTTACACAGGCTGCTCAATGACGGCGCTGAAAAGACATCTCCACACGAAACAGCAGTCCGAAGTGAAGCAGCAGCAACCCCAAATGAAATGCCGTGCGACGATATTTGGACCAGCTGAATTAAAAAAATCGAACTTAGGAAAAAGGTACAAGTAATATTATTTAAAAAATCATTATTTGCCACATCAATGAAACTCGTTAGCTCGCTCGTTAGTGGAACTGATCGCTCGTTTGTTATAGATACGCTCGTTTCAACACTATTTATTATTACACCTTCCCGTGGCTAAAGATGAATCAGTGCCAATATAGATGAGGAGGGTGCGTTTGCCAGCCATGGCGTAGAAAGAAAGTATAAGAAGTGTGGTGGTGCACCAATACCATGGTAAATAACAGAGGAAAGGGAGCAGTACAGCCGACGTGAGACGACCGAGACTAAATAGTAAATAGGTATACAGTCAACTTTGCGTATAACGACACTCGGCGGGGCATCAGAAAAGTGTCTTTATTCGCGAAGTGTCGTTATACCCGAAGTCCCATTATATGTATTACAGTTGGATGTGACTTTGCTCTGGGCATGGAAATTCTGTCATTATTCGCGAATTGTCGTTATATCTGCAGTCGTTATCAGCGAAGTTGACTGTATTGACTATTGAATGGGAATGTTGAAATGCTGCTTTGCAAGACTGCGAAATGATACATGTACTTGAAGTACAACGTACATGTGTAGGTGCTCTTGTCCATCATGGCATCAATACCACAACGATTGAGGAACCAAAATTAAGTATCCAAAAAAGTTTCATTCCGGCCGACCGAGTCTCCTTTTTGAGGGGTTGCCGACCCGAAACAAGCCTATTTTTTGTTTTGGCCTTAGCTAGTGATGTAACGAACCATGAATTTTACGAACGAGTAATCTACAGGGTTCGCAGCGAAGTTTGGAAGTCTGGAAAAAGTTTGGATTTTATAATTCAATTTTCCAGGTCTGGAAAAAGTTTTGAAAAGGCGCTCCTTTTGAAAAAGTTTGGAAAAAGTTTTGAATTTCGATTTTTTGGCCGCAGATGTGCTGCACTGCTGGCAGTACTGCATGCAAGTACGCGGTTTTGAGTGCCGCGATAGAAAACGCGCTGGCGATGCGTGGTGTTCACTGCATGTACGAGTTTCGTACAGTCATTTCAGTGCATGCTCAAGCGCGGCCGGTGATGACTTTTATTTGGCCGTTTTTTTTTGTTACTGGCGCTCGCGCTCCACTTTGATTCTTTGAAGTCGGGACAGCAGGATGGCGAGGTCCTTTCGCACTCAGATGAGTTTGCTGGCGAGGATGAAGCCGTCTTTTGCGCTGAGATGGACACCAGCTATGTAAATGTTTCATTGGAACCCCCTCTGGAGGCGGATTTGAACTTACGGAGGGGAACTCTCGTCGTATGAATTCCCCTGCTATTTTCAGAGGCTCTAGCTGCTGAAGGCGATATCATCGCAATGCACCTTGGTGAATTTGTTGAAGGTAATACCAGGGAGGATTTTACTACTCCCTGGTTGTACTCGTAGTGGAGAAGACAGTCGTGCAGAAGAGATTTATAATTTATTTTTCCTGAACGAGTGGGTTTGGAAATTCTTGAAATTGGTTTGGAAAAAGTTTGGAAAAAGTTTAGAATTTTGTGTGCTTGGTTGGCTGCGAACCCTGAATCTAGCGAATACCACTCAAGCGAACGAACGATAATTCTACTATTCCGCAAGAAAATTCATTTATATCGACAATTATAAGAAGTTGTATTTCTCGCGAAATATTTTCAGTTACACACACATCTGGCTGCGGCCAACTACCCTTCACTTTGTGTGTTGTCGCTATTGCTGTCTATGTCTCTGTGTATGCCAGTATATGTGGAGCGAGAACTCCCAATTGTTGTATTACCCTTTAATATACAGTAAAACCTGTAATGGCGACCACTCGGATATGGCGACCACTCGACCATGGCGACCACTTTTCCTTGTCACGGACGCATTCACATTCAAAACAGCTCGGATAAAGCGACCACTCGCTCAACGCGACCGACGACCACCCACCCGCGACCGCGTTGCACAGTGCTAGTACATGTAAATGTACACATTGCATGGTGCAGCACCATGCATGGTAGATGTACACATCAGTGCCGGAAGTATAGAATCTGATGTACATACTCATTGTACGTGGTGCATGCACGACACTTGACAGGTCTGAGGATCCCAGGCACATGAGTCGTGCTAGAACAGCATAGGTACTGTAGTACTAGGTGTGTGCACTGTGATACACTGATCAAAATGATGTACCACGTGTGGATACGGTCACGTGACCCACTAAGCCTGGATAAGAAGACCACCTGGCCACGGCGACCACGTTTTTCTCATCCCTTGAGGGGTCGCCTTCGACAGGTTTGACTGTAACCACATTTCTTGGTCTGACGCAAATATCGTTGTAAGGGTCGGTCGACTGTACACTTAACGCTATACGTAGACTTTGAGTTATTTTGAGTTACATAGGGTTGTCTCAGTCAGCAATCACTTACCACATGTAGTCCTGGTGTGTTCATTCCTCTTGTGTACCGAACAGTGGACAATGTCTGTGTGCGTGGGTGTAGTGGGGTTTGCTTTAGAAGTGCAGTGCAAGAACACATAATTGTTAGTTATTCCTGTCCCTCGGTTTCTCTCTCTATCTTTCTCTCTCTCTCTCTCTCTCTCTCTCTCTCTCTCTCTCTCTCTCTCTCTCTCTCTCTCTCTCTCTCTCTTCTATCTCTCTCTCTTCTATATCTCTCTCTATCTCTCCCTCTATCTCTCCCTTTCTTCTTTTTGCTTTGTCTCTGGCTATGGGTGTGGCTCTTCCACGCTATGCCGCAGGTCGCAGTGCGGCTGGATACAATGGGTCTGGTGCTGGCAACAGTTATCCCGGCGGGTATGGACGCTCTGATGCACCTGCCAGCCGACCACCATACTAGGTAAGTGACCTATGATACCGCATGTTTGTAAATCATTCTACACACCACCATCTACATGCTGTACATATAATATACTGCACATGGCACGTTCCGCCATGCTGTAGACATACATGACACCGTCAGGAGTGGCACGTCTCATTGGGTGGGTGTCAGCAAAGTTAATATGTTGCACTTTTCTTCAAAGGAATCATGTTCCACGGTGAATAGCTCCAAGTGCCCTTCTCGAGTTTGTCTTGGCGGAAGGTCTGTGGCGTAGCTTAGGTAGGCGGTAAAGTACGGCGTACTACCACCGTACTGTGATGTAGTGGACTGGTTGACCTCTGAAGTATGCCCGGCATTGTTCAGTCCAGTTGTACTTGTTGCTATGGTCTTCAGATTGTTGCGTCGTGAGTTAGTTGTGGCCATTGCAGTTCAAAGGTTTATCACTCGAGTGATGCTGGTCCAGAGAGGTCCAATGTCAGCCGTAGATTTTCCCTTCAAAGTTCAATACTGCTCTGGATGTTGACCATACGCTTGTATTGCAGCCTGTTTACGCACCGGTCAGTAGTCGTGCCCCCGTTCTTGATCCAGCGTCTCTTCAGTGTATATAACGTTCTTGATTCAGTGTCTGGCTGGTTGGTCCCCTGTTTTCCTGAGCTGTTGTGACCTGAGCGTAACTCACCGGCAGAGCATTGGTGCGAGTGTGTAAGCACTGCGTTTCCCACTGCCGGTGTGGTGATTGTGAGCTGCATTGCGCGATTTTATGGTTATTTGTCCTGGATTGGTGCGTATGCCTGTGTGCCTCTGTACCTGGTCAGGTAGGTTTAGCTTCAGATCCATAACTGCTCGGTTGTATCTGCAGGTTGCCAATTGTCAACGATCCAGAAACTAGGGTACAAACTATAAAGTCATATCGCTTAGCTAGCAGACTGAAAGTTCACAGGCTTTTCAAAAAATCTACAGTTTCCGAGGCCAAGATCGAAGCCATATTCAACTGAAAATCTGCAGACATGAAAATTACTCTGAGTGCACGACACAGGTTACTGTTTTCATTGCGACATTTTAGAAAAAGAAAAGAAAGAATGAAAGAAGATCATTGCATAAATTAAATTCAAGGTTCGCGTGATTTTCCGCATCCATAGGAACGCCGATAAGGATCAAGGCATATCGCGCCTTGCACGTGTATGTGTAAGATAACGTGTATGTGTAAGATAGCAAGGCCAGTGACAAGCGTGCCTGCGCAGCTTTTGCCCTGTGTGCAAGCTGCCCGGTGTCATTGAAAGCCACTCTGTGCTGCTCATTTGACAAGGCCAACACGCAAACTACTCCAAGTTGTACAAGAAAGTTGTAGCACCCTGCAGTGTATATCCAGAGAAGATAATCATCCAAGTTAAAATTTTATTTTTAAGGAGACTGTCCACATCTACGCCGCAGACCACATAAAATCGCAAATTTGCTTTGCAAGGGGAAGTTCTTGAGGCAACTATGGCGGCTACGCTGAGCAAGTAATACTTCTGCGCGTGTGAAGTAAATGGAGGGTAGTGTGATAAAGAAAAGTTTGTGAAAAAGGAATTAAAATAGCAATATTATAGAATTTAATATAGGTCTGCAGCCATCGCGAAGCATCAACGAAGTCGAAAGGTTTCCAGAATCGATTTTCACGTCACTATCATCAGTGGTATATCGTGACTGAACCGAAGGCAAGCCAACCAAAAACGATGATTAAGTATGCGTTCCGTAGTCTGTTACCAGCAAGAAACAAGGTGGTAGATAAAAGGCAAACCGGGTGAGACAAACACAATGTAAGACCAGTGAAGCGAGAGAAGAAAGAAAAACAAGCCGTGAAAAAAATTACGAATACAATCTCAGAGGAACCACGTGCTTCTTTTGTTTACAGAGTACATGCTTATGCAAACAAATATAGACAGCTTGAGACAGCTTGAAGGGCTTTCAACTGCCTGACATAACATGCACTACACAGCACGGAAAAGCAAAAATCGTCATACACATCGACACACTCGGGGTGAGATAAGAAATGAAGAAAAACGGCAGACTTTTTACGATCACCGTTCTCATCCAACCTCGAAAAGGAATTAGACTGTTGGCCAAGCACAAGGATTGAACTAAAACAAATATATCCACAAGAAAGACTCGAGAGAGAAAGATCATATGATATTCGGCATGTGTTGTCCACCTTTTTACAGACAAGAAGGAGTTGGCACGGGACAAAATGCTCGTTGCCCATTAACACTTGCTCTCTCCAATACACGGCAGATCTGTGACAAAGCCACATGAGCTGCGGAGGTAAATCTCACGTGCTTCCAAATGATCTTCAGTCACGGCCAGCGAGGAGGATATTTAAAGCTAGCCACGAGTACCCCCTGCTTTGGAAAATGTCCATTGCTCCTGTGTTCATTGCGGCTGCTTCATTCCAGATGATAACTGGATTAAGAATTCTACTGTGATAACCTGATTGATCAAGTTTTCTTATGTCTGAAACAGCGTTGCAGGGCGTTTCTCTTGGTTTGGTCGATGGTTGATTTTGGTCTCAAATTCAACGTTGCCCATTTGTCGTTGAATACGCTCGTGTTCTGAGCCGGCTTTTGATGATGTTGCCGTTGGTGTGCCCATTGACGTCTGCGACATTGGTCTTGTATTCAGGGAGGTGATGATTGCTTGCCCCTTGGTGCTTTTTATACTTCGGTATATTGTTCTCTCTCTCTCTCTCTCCCTCCCCCCCTCTCTCTCTCTCTCTCTCTCTCTCTCTCTCTCTCTCTCTCTCTCTCTTCTCGTCTCTTCTCTCTAGCTGTGTGTATGCATGTGCGCGTAATGTGCATGGGCGAGTGTGTGTACATGTGTGTGTCCTGCCTGCGTAGCTGTGTGGTTCAGTGTGATAACTTTCTTATTTGCCAGATCTACTTTGAAGTTAATATTATCCACTGAACTTACGAGTATGGTAAACTACACTAATAGGCTGAAGGCTTGTGTAAAAACTGATTCCAGTGCAGGTGCTGGTTACTGGATACTGGATACTTGCTTGTTGGCACTTAGCTAACTGCTGACGTACATGTAGATACTATCAGTGTTACCAATGCAAGTGCCAGGCTCTGATCTAGTGTGTGGAGACTGGCAACTGCACTGTGCCACGTGGCAAGGAGGTCTTTGCGAGCAGTATGCAATATGCATTCGGGCACGTGGCAAGGAGGTCTTTGCGAGCAGTATGCAATATGCATTCGGGCCGCCGCTCATTCATGAGGCTGAGGTCTGTGGTGATATTATAGCACCTTTCCCTGCATGGGTCTTGGCACTTAGGCTGCTAGTGCTACTGTTCGCACCCTAGGCCCTGCACTGCTGGACCTCTGGCGCCTTGCGCATAACACATTCACATGTCACCTTTCAAGCCGCCTTTCCAGCCAGCTTCCCTTTAAAAGCCATTGCGTTTCACTGATGGTTCATTCTCATCTTTCGAAGAGTTGGTCTGCCTTGAGCAGGACACAACATGGCGCAGTGAACAGGATTTGAACCTGTGCGGGCAAAGCCCAATTGATTTCCAATCAATAAGGTCGTGTGGCAATCTGAAGGGGTTTGATAAAAATGGTAATGTGGAATTGCACTCAAGCTTCACAAGGCAGGCATAGCGTCTTGAAGACATGTGCTAAGGCTTGGCCAGAAATTCTACTTTGCACAGTGGCAGGTAGGTTGTTGCCAGCAATGTGACTGAGGACTTCCTTTCAGCTGGTTATGTAAAGATCACTCTAGTCACCTCCTCTCCATCGCTGCCGTGTCTCTAACCTTTAAGGCAATGTGTGTCTTCCTTCGCACAGGGAGAAGCTCGCTGCGTTGCAACGCTCTTTTAAGCACCCAGAGCAGGCGACAATGAGGTGGCTTGAAGTGCCAGGGAAAACATGAAATAGACTTCAGTGTTGCACTGCTTGTGTGAGGACAGGAAGGAAATATGGAAGATGACGAAGAGAAGGATGCGATCGCAAGAAAAAGAAGGAATATTCGGAGTTCGTTATGAAAGAGGAAAGAGAAGGTGAAACACAAGTTACTGTACCCTGTGCACAAGTCTGGTTCTCTAATCACTGAGTGTGACACAACTGCTACCAATCCAAACATAGCCCGCTGCTTTCATTCCTTTGTTTGCCTTTAGTTTTATTTGCGTGCACTTGCTCTGCAGCTTATTCACCATCCGTGCTCCCGTGCCTATCCCCCACCAGTTCCACCGCGTGTTCTTTTTGTGTGTTTTCATATCTCGTCTAACCTCTCCGCGGCTCCTCTTGCACCCTATTTTTTCAGTGTATTGCCTTGTCCACTCCCCCCCCCCCCCCCTTGCACGGTATATTGTCGTGCGGGCTTATCTAGCACAGGTTGGTATTTGTATACGACCTTTGCATGACATAGTGCAGGGTTGGCATTCCTGTTTTGTTTCTTTGTTTTGTCTTTTCTCGTTTTGCACTTATTGCCCATTTCTGCTTTAGCTTTAGAGGGTGTGAAGTCGATAAAAAAAATTATCTGAGGCACTGTATCGCCAAACCCCTCTCCCATGTGTTGTAGTAAGGTCTTCAGTAGTGGGAATCTACTGAAGTAGGCAGACGCCTTTGATCCATCCCGCTGCAATGGTTAGGATCCTCTTTCAGGGCGCGAAATATCGGTCGGACATCGGACAATTTCCGACCGTTTACGGTCAGTTTCCGGATCTTTTGTACACATCCGGACAAAGTGTCCGCGCACCTTTTTGCAACGTACAAAAAAGAAAAGGCACGTCAATCCTTTGTCTCATAGTCATTAGTGATGTCGTCTGGCAAGAGAAAGCCAAGCACCGCTCATGCGGGTGCTCCTCTTGGAAAGAAGCCCAGAGGAGTCAAGACGACCACTTGTGACAAGTGGGTCGCCGAGTATGATAGGGAGCTTTCAACTTCTGTTTGGCTGAGCTATGAGCGCAGTCCCTCAGATCGTAGCGTCGTCGAAAATTTTAAGTGTAAGATGTGTTCCCGTTTTGTTGATAAAATTCGCAGCAGCAAGAATTTGTCTGGCTCCTTCGTCGTTAGCTCAAGGAATCTGAAAACGTCAGCCTTCAAAGATCATGTTGCTTCTGAAATGCATCGCCGTGCCATGGCATTGTTTGGCAAGGAGCAGTCAAGCGGAAACCCAATAGAGTATGCGCCAATCGCTCGAGCCTTGTGCAAACTTGACGACGCAGCAGCAGCCAAGGCCAGACATAAGTTTGAAATTGCTTACCTGATATGCAAAGAGCATATGGCTTTCGCGAAGATGGAATCGCTCTGCCAGCTTGAGGCGCGTCATGGCATTGATTTAGGCAGTGGACGTAAAAACGAGAAAGCCTGCGCACACTGAACATTGTGTGATTTGATGTGAAATTTTGCATGTCCGGACATGTCCGGCCATTTTTGCAACTGGCAGGACATTGTGTCAGAGCACATTTTAATCCTTAGCGCATGCCCTGCTCTTTGCCAGGCACAACGCAGAGTCAAGAATTTGAATGAACTCGTGCCTAGCGGAAGAAAACTTAAAGTAAAGGTGCGTTCTTATTTTCTCTAGCTCCTGGGAGAAATGTGCCCTGAAAGTCGAAGAAACTGGAATAGTTTAGGGACAGGTCTTGAAGAGTTCGGGGTCTTTCGCACCTGCGAAGCAGCGCCAAAGGAGCCGCCTCGATCTTGAGTGACTTGTCTGTAGTATGCACTGTCAACCATCTGTTGTAGTACGCATGATGTACGCACTGCAAACCATTCCATAGTAGTTCGCATGAGCGGACCCGAAAACGTGGAAGTGTCTACCTCGTTAGCAGTTCGGAGGAGGGCTGGGAGAACTTTGAAGAGTCTCCTAAAATTCCAAGAGGATAATTATTTGAACACTACCGTAAAAGCCCGTAAATAAGTACCTGCCCGAAAAATACCCCCTTCATTCTTTTGGCTCTGTCTGTTGAAGTCAAGTCAAGCCCGATAAACATACTGCCCGAAATAAGTACCGGTACGGTGCGCACATGCAGCACGTAGCATGTACATCGACATGAAAATGACTTCTCCACTACACACAAGTCAGGTCCGAAAGTTAGTTCACGCCCGAAAGTCAGTACCCCGCCCGAAAGTTAGTACGGGTGTGGTCACTAAATTCGAAAGTAAATACGTACTTATTTATGGACTTTTACGGTACTCCAACTGTTCGCAGTCTTGAACTTTACCGAGAGGATTTAAGAACGCACCGTAAGCAGGAGAGCGGGCATGTGATGCTGAGTGAAGCAAGCCATGAGAATCCCGGTGTGCCTTGTCCAGAAGTCATGTAGGCATCCTATAATCTGTTAAGAAAATGGTGAGGCGTGAGGTTTCGACTGCACGGCTATCCCGTAGTATAGAGGTAACAGCTGCGTACTCTTGATTATGGGCTCAAATACTAGTGATAGTGGAGGGGGGGGGGGGGGGGGGGTGTCTTTCACAATACCGTAAAAGTCCGTAAATAAGTACCTGCCCGAAATAAATACCCCCTTCATTCTTTTGGCCCTGTCTGTTGAAGTCAAGTCAAGCCTGATAAACATACTGCCCGAAATAAGTACCGGTACGGTGCGCACATGCAGCACGTAGCATGTACATCGACATGAAAATGACTTCTCCACTACACACAAGTCAGGTCCGAAAGTTAGTTCGTGCCCGAAAGTCAGTACCCGCCCGAAAGTTAGTACGGGTGTGGTCACTAAATTCGAAAGTAAATACGTACTTATTTACGGACTTTTACGGTAGTGACGTGTGTGTGTGTGTGTGTGTGTGTGTGTGTGTGTGTGTGTGTGTGTGTGTGTGTGTGTGGGGGGGTGTGGGTGTGGGTGTGGGTGAACCTGCATGGAAGTACTGCATGAATAAGCTCCGACACGCAGGTACAGTGCTGCTCAATGAAATCCGCTCGAGGGGATGAGGTTTGCGCCGTGCACCAGTTCATCGCCCCAGTGTTTGCGCCCTGCACCTGTTCATCGCCCCAGTGTTTGCGCCGTGCACCAGTTCATCGCCCCAGTGTTTGCGCCGTGCAGTTCATCGCCCCAGTGTTTGCAGGTCTAGGATTACACAGCAGCCAGCGTGGCATTGACTTGCATGATCGGATTCTATCCACAAGCAGTACTGCACTAGTGAACCACTGCATGAGGGGGTATTACAACCGAAAACAAACAAAGAATTTGGGAACGCCAGTGCTATTTTAAAGAAATGTAAAAATTGCTCACTCAGTGCACCTAAAAAATGTTGAATGGTCTCTGCTGCGCTGGGATGACAGCTACACCATAGCTCAGTGATTAGAGCATCGCTGGCCTCAATGAAGGTCCCTGGTCCGATTCCTGGCGGTGGTAGTCAATTTTTCTTCTAACTTTTCCCTTTTCCATTTCCTCAACTCACTGATGAATAACCGTGCACCTGCATCACGCAAACCCTGAAGCAAAGGATCAGAATGTAGAGCCGGAATCAAGAAAATAAGAACGCCGGTAGCCTGAAGCAGACATCCCCTCATCTTCAGCATCTGGCGTTGTCACCAGTTCTGTACGTCAGTACAAAACCCCGGGCATACATGTACGTGCTGAGGCCCGTTTTGAAGTCCATGCGTGTATACAAGACAGGCTGCATGTCAACGTCAAAGCCAGGTCAAAGGTCCATCTGGAAAATGTTGGTGTTCATACAAGACTGTTGCTGTAGACAGGTTGTGGGGTACTATTATCATTATCATCATCAGTTGGTTTGAACTATCCACCTCTCCACACTGCTCTCTTGGTCCACATTCACCACATTCACTAAGAGCGCAGTGTGCAAGAGCGCTGTGTGGACAGGTGGATAGTTCAAATTATTTTCGAATGGCCGAGGTCGTCGCTACTTCTGAGTTACCATCAGGTGAGGTATTATTTTTATCGCCGATCTTTCCTCAGTGACACGCCAAGCAAACTTGGCTACCCTTCGCTTACGCCGAATGGAATGAGGAACGAGTGTGGTCAATGAGGTGCACTTACGCGTGTAATTTTCCAGAAAAGGCAGCACATGAACTGTTCTAGGCAGTCCAAAAATCACACAAAGCATCAACTATTTTTTCTTTCCAAAACAAAATCGGAAATGACTGAATACTTCAATTATGACAGCTGACGGTACAGAGTCTCAAAAGCTGCATCGTATGAGTATACATACAGTACAATTCTCCTTATAAACTACAAGTACAAGCAAGAAGTACGAGGTCAAACTCTACACAACAAGACGAAAGCATGGGCACATGTGCAGACGATTTGCAGAAGGTTCAGAAAATAACAGTACTTGCATTACACATTGCCGGAACGAATAAGGCAGACTTGGACATTTCAACATTTTGCAGTTGTTGCGTTTCCAGCGTTGGGGTGGCAGTTCCGTTACTGAGGCCATACAAGTAGTGGAGCTCAGTTATTTGCCATCAACTATGCCAGCGCCAAAAAAACAGGCGCGCTGGTATGTGCCGAAAGTCCATCTCAAAACTCAGGCTTCTACTCAAGACATGCTTCTATACAAGACATGCTTCTACTCAAGACATGCTTCTACTCAAGACATGCTTCTACTCAAGACATGCTTCTACTCAAGACATGCTTCTATACAAGACACTACAATTACGTTGAGAGCATACAGTCAACTTCACTTATAACGACACTAGTGTCGTTATACCCAAAGTCTCATTATATTATGTTACATGTAATGTATTACAGTTGGATGGGACTTTGCTCTGGGCATAGAAATTCTGTCGTTATTCGCGAATTGTCGTTATATCTGCAGTTGTTATTAGCGAAGTTGACTGTACACGGATATTTCAATCACTGTCAACAAGTGATTAGAATGGGTGAAGTTCAAATTATGCATGCTCCTTTCAGTCTGTGCTTTCCAAGAGGGAACTAGCTGCATGATTGACTTGCTTCAATTGCTACCGAACAAACCCCAATTTTTCGTCATGTGCTATCGTTGACAAGGCCATATGTTCAAGATCTCCAGGCTGAGTCCTAATGTCTGATCTCTCAAGTGAAGAAATTTAAAACGATGGTGTCAGTTGCAAGAAGCTTGAGCCAACGGTTAGTCAACCTTTCTTCAAGACTTTTTGTTTCATTTGAATGTGTCTGCGCAATGTTGTATATTTGAGGAGAGGTAGTGAAAAGGAATTCCTTCAAGATAAATAAAGCCACTCGGCTGATTCAAGAAATGAAGCTTTGTTTTGAAGGACTGCAGGACCAGAAAACAGTACATGTATAAGTTGGCAGTGAACAATTACAGTAGACCAGGTAGACTGGAGTGGTCCTGGGCACAAGCAAGGGAAATCTTGCCGTGCGAGAATAGCATTCTCAACCAGCAGCACACCATGCTGTTCTCTCTCCCATTCAGGAATATCAGTTTGCGAAAAGCCTTGTCAACGGTGCAGTTAACTTGTCCAGTTCTACGATTAACACAGGATTTGAAGCTTTTTTCTGATACGAATAACTGCTCTTGTTTCATGCTCCTGATGATGGTGTCATGAATCTGGCTTCTTAGATACGCA